ACTGATGGAATGGTTGAACGTCTGAACAGAACGATCACTTCTATGCTGTGCCAACAGGTCTGCAATGATCAGGTTGATTGGGACTTACAGGTACCCGGGGTACTCGCGGCATATCGTATGGCCCCACATGCGGCAACGGGCTTTTCCCCATTTTTTCTCATGTATGGGCGGGAGGCTGATCCGCCTATGGATGTCCAACTGGGGATTTCCCAGCCACGTGCGAATTCCAAACTGGCCGACCACATTAAATTTAATATCGCCAAGCTGGCTGAAGCGCGAGAGGCTGCAAGGTTAAATTCAAGGTCGCGCCAGGTCACTAACGAAAGGTTGCATGAACGGAAGGTGCATACGCACGATTGGAAAACAGGCGATAAGGCCTGGCTGCATTGTCCACATGCACCGTTGGCCACGTCCCCTAAGTTGTTGAGACCATGGAGGGGACCGGTGGAAATCGTGCGTGTTGCGCGACCCCAGTGTATCCAGATTAAATGGGGAAAACGCCATTGGTACGTACACCCCTCCCGGCTGAAACCTTTCGCGGAAACCCATGACCTCCCTGTGTGCCGTAACGACTGAGCGTGTGATGGGGCCGTCGGCTCGGGGTGGCAGGTGTCGCAGTCTGATCCTCACGTGTCTCCGCCTGACCTACTCCCAGGTGTCGCGGACCTGACGGCGGCTGACCACCGAGAGCCGGAATCCCGAGGCACGCACGGATCTACAATACCTGCCCCGTGCCTCCCTGGACTGCCGGCGCCACCGGACGGTCAACCGCGTCTGGCTCCGTATGACGGACCGGCCAGACGGACTCGTGCTAAGACTAGCCACTTTTCCTGAAGGGGGGGGGGGGGGGGGCCGAGATTGCGGCTCGGCGCCACGTTCCCCTTCTGCCCAGTATATTGCCCCGTTCAAGGGGTGATCGGAAAATGAAGGGACGCTGTACGAGTCATTTTTGTATATACGTTTATTGTTGTCTCTCGCCGCTTGTATATATTGTTCTGTTGTTGCGGTGATATGCTCTGCTTACGGTGGGCGGAGTTCTTATTGTGTTGTTGTAATTGTTGTTGATGTTACGGGGCACACACTAATTGGGGGGGGAAATAAACATTTTTTTAGCAGCCGGGTCGGCTGCGAGCTATGTGGTAGGGGGTGATGTAGTGGCGGTGCGCGCCGACAAGGTGGGGGCGTGGGTGGGCGTGGGTGTGCGCGCGCCGGGCGTGGCTACATCGAGTGTGGGGGGTGTTGACGCACACTGACAGTGATGGATTACGGGGCGGCGCTGGGTGCGTGGTTGCGCACGCAGACACGATATGGGAAAGAGGATCGTAGAGAGAGCGCTGGGTGATTGGTCAACTTGGGTGGGTGCTCTCAGCGACGTCCGCATGGAGGACTATAAAGGGGGACGCGCGAGAGCACTCGGGGAATTATTACCAGCTGAAGATCGAAGACGGAGTTGAAGAGATAGGGCCCTGAGACCCTAGCCCCGCTGTCCTTGTAAGGGCCGGGACCCTGTGCGGCTCAGAGGCGAGGCTGTGGGACCCGGGGCCTGGTGTCCATGTGGAACCAGGTTGTGGGACCCAGAGTCGAGACTAATAACCCAGCCGGGTGTGTTCCAAGAAGCTACGGGGCGTGAGAGCCCGTGTGGGTATAGCTCAGGGGAACCTCGTGGGTTATGTGGCAGTTGCCACCCGTGTAACAGTTTGGTGTTAATAAAAAGGTGTGCTACCCGTCAAGGTCGTCTCCCGCCAAGTGACTACTTTACATATGCATGTGTTGAACTTATTTCTTAATGTGCGTAGCCTACCGTGCTAACCGACGGTGCTGTCCGACCTCCGACGGTGCGAAAGAAGTTCAACGTACATACGTACATACATCCTGCTTCTCCGATCAGCCTCATATCCTGAGACCAACAATCTTATCAAATTTTTCACAGAGCAGTGCGACCCTTCATGCTAAAGAATGACACTAGAGAACGCAAGACTGCTGTGGTGGTGAGATGTTCACTACCTCGCCTGGTATGTAGGTCATGTGTTCGATCCCAACCCTGACGCCTGTTATATATTTTGAATTTGCGTCTCTCTCATCGTCACGGTGGTCAGGATATGTTATTTCCCTCGCCTGCTATACAGGAGGTCGTGAGTTTGATCCCTGACGATGCCTTCTGCTGTATATTTGGAGTCTTTCTCTGTCTCTTCCCGTGGTCAAGTTGATTTTTCTCCGGGCCCTCCGGTTTCCCCCCCACATTTATAATCAACGTGGTTGAGAGTATTTGGCAGCGCTACATTTCCACATAATGATAAGCCACGTCGTGGAGCTATCATTTGTGATGGCCGGGTGACGTCTGAAAAAGAGCTATATAGCTCAGTAGACCTTACCCGGTACAATAAAAAATAATGTAGTTTTAACATCTATGTAAGTGGGTAGCACCATGGCCATAGATCCCATTAAGCGACCTTTGACCCACACAGCAGAGATTGTTACTTGAAATTAAAATAAAATTCTATCGGAATTAAAATAAAATTCTATCGGAATTTTTTTTTGCCAAATTAAGTGTAGAACCAAATTCAAAAACCGTGGTTTCTTGTGCAATCATTTGGTGGCCGGAGCTGAGACCATCAACTCGTGGCCGCTTTTGGCTGGCCATCGAAGAAAGTTAATTTCATTGTGCGGTTTGAATGATTTATACACTACACTACAATATAGGACACCACTATACACTACACTACTATACACTGCACTACACTATACACTCCACTACTATACACTGCACTCCTTTAGAGTACACTACTATACACTACACTACTATACACTACACTATGCACTTTTTCTGGGATCCCTCCTAGTAGAGTATGATTTCCCTCCAGGTGTTACTTGTCTGTGTTGTGAGGTGGACCTGGCTGGCCATGGGTCCGGAGATGGTTGAATAGGCCAATCCGTGACTTGCAGATCTTGGTACAGTGGGGGCACGGATGGTCCATCCTGGAGTTCCCACTTGTTGTCTCTGTCTCTGGTGTGTGTGCTTTGTGGCGTGCTCTTTTCCTGGCTATCAACTCTCTTCGCTCAGCCTCAAAATGCTGAGTTCCATTGTTTATTTTGGCCCTCCATGATGGTCTATCAAGAGCATAGATTTCCGAGTTGTTTGGATCTATGTGGCGTCGCTTGAGGTGCATTTTAACGTTGTCACGGAAACACTTCCTTTGACCTCCGGGGGCACGTGATCCATCGCTGAGCTGGGAATAAAAGATTTGCTAAGGAAGCCTCGAGTCATTCATCCTCACAAGGTGACCTGCCCATCTGAGTTGATACTTTATCATGATAGCCTCTATGCTGGATGAGTTGGATCGCTCCAGGCCACTGATATTAGTTTGTCTTTCTTCCAAGAGTGATGTTTATTATTTTCCTGAGACAGCATTGATTATACATTTCGAGAAATTGTATGTGTTTACAATCGGTGGTCCAGGTTTCTGCGCCATTTAAGAGGTTTGGAATGATCACAGCATTATACACAGCGACTTTGGTCTTGGTGATAATGTGGTGGTCTTCAAAGACCCTGTTCTTATGTTTCTCAAAGGCAATCAGATGTAAGACCTTGCTAGAGAGATGGCTGCCTAAGTATGAGAAACTGGGAACGTTCTCTAGTATTGCATTGTTGATAATGATTGTAGGGGGTGGTAGGTGTCTTCCCGGAGTTTTTTAAAAAGGATATTTGTTTTGCTGGTGTTCAATGTTAGGCCCAACCTGATGTGAGCATCTGTAAATATGTTGACGATAACCTGAAATTCAGCTTCTGAGCATTCGCTGACTTGGGCATCGTCAGCATATTTAATATCAATAACGAATGTGATGTTTTCGACTTGGCTCTGAAACGGTTGATGTTGAATATGTTCCTGTATGTCCTATATGTGATATTTATGCGTCTGGGAAGTCTGTTCTCTGTCAGATGAAGCATTTCTGCCAGGAAGATGGAGAAAATAGTTGGTGCAATAATGCAGCCTTGCTTCACACCGGTCCTTACTTCGATTGGCTTTGAGGTTTCGCCATCAGAGAGGATGACAGCCTTCATACCGTCATGCAACAGATGGAGGACGTTAACAATGTTGTTTGGTAGCCATATCTCAGAAGGATTCTCTATAGTGCTTCACGATTAACAGAATCGAAAGCTTTAGTCAAATCAAAGAAGGCCATGTACAATGGTAGTCTCTGCTCCTGGCACTTCTCTTGGAGTTGACGGGCTGAGAAGATCATGTCCGAGGTTTCCCTGCCAGGTCGATAGCTACTTTGCGATTCAGGAAGGAGTTTTGCAGCAAGTGGTAGAAGTCTGTTTAGTAGGATTCATGCCAGTATTTTTCCAGCGGTGGCAAGAAGAGAGATGCCTCTGTAGTTGTCACAGTCTGACTTGTCACCTTTTTTGAAGACGTGACAATGATGGCATCTTTCAGTTCGTTGGGAAGATCTTTATCATTCCAGATCCTGGCCATGAGGGAGTGCAGCTGTTCTAGTAGGCGTTGTCCTCCATTTTTGTAACTATGCACTACACTATACACACTACTATAAACTCCTTTAGAGTACACAACTATACAATACACTACGATATAGTACACTACTATGAAGTACATTACTGTACAGTACTATACACTACACTCATATACAGTACACTACCATACACTACACCATGCCCTACAATTTTGACTAGCTATTGCACAAAGAAGGTTAATGCATCGCACGCTTTTAGATGAGCTTCTGCGTCTGTCTGGAATGCTCTTCCTTCCGATATTAGCAAGCCACTGAGCTTTGCACTTTAAAATCATCTAGATTGAAAACGAATTTCTTTAGAAATGCTTTTTGTGTTTAGTTTGTTGTCCTTCCCCCGTACACTTCTCATTAGCACGCATGGTTGGCTATACACGGTGCAAAAGAAGTTCAACATACACACGGTGACACAGGCTACATGTTGGTGAGGGTGAGGATGTGTGATGGACGCGCGTCCAATGCTTTCTCAACAGGGATCACGAACTGCAGCCAATGGCACCAGCTGGAGGAGGCGGTGCAGCTGAGAGAGAGGAAGAGAGAGGTACGAAGCAGGAGCCACACTCAGACTCACTCATTCACCTACACCAGGGGTCGGCAACCTACGGCTCCGGAGCCGCATGCGGCTCTTTACAGGCTGCTTCTTGACGATATGTACAGTATGTACTCAGATGCATTGCGGCTCTTGAAATACTGAATTTTGTACCGAATTGGAAAGAAATGGCTCTTCTTGTTATTTTGGTTGCCGACCCCTGACCTACACGGAGCAGTGCGCGGCTTCTTTGTGTGTCTGTGGTGTGTTTGTGCGGTGTGTCATAAACATCACCACTGGGGATTCCAAGGCGGCTGGGCGTGGTGATGGCCACCTACCACTGAGATCCTAGGTTCTCATCCACGCCTCCTCTGCCTGTGATGTATACCAAGTTCTCAAATATGGTTTCTGCGGTGTGTTGAACCTCTTTCGCACCGTACTTAGCCAATTGCGCTAATCGGAGGTGCGAGGGAAGGACAAGAAACTAAACACAATACACAACTCCATTATATATACTACAGTACTATACACTACACTATACATCACTATGCACTACACTACGATACACTACACACTATGTACATATGTATATTGAACTTCTTTCACAGCGTACTTAACTTTGCAATTGTGTATGCCGTGCAGGATCCTTACATCCCAACGTTGTTTCTCTGTGTGAAGCAGATCGAGTCCCGGGACAAAGAGAAAATGGACAATTGGCAGTGGGTGACATCGTTTTGAACGATGACGTTTCAGAAGCCTGAGCAGGCAGGCCTCAGGAGCTCATGATGAGAAAGCGGATTGAACAATGGCACTTATATAACTCACACGTCACTCCAAAGATAAATAGTAACAACCTTAGCCTCAATCCCTTTTTTTGGAAATTTGCCTATTTTTTCTGAACCTCATCAATGCAATATGAAACGTGGTCATGTTGGGGAAATGGCTTTTCATTCCATCATGTCCTTGCTATGAGGTGGGCGGATATTGTGTGCTCCATATTATGGATATAAAACCATCATGCAAACTCAGATGTTCCTTGCAGAGACGGGTTCTTGTTAGCCATCGAAGAAGGTGGTCACTGCATCATACGCTTCAGATGCACTTTTAGCTCTAAATTTAAAAACTCTAAAAAATTGCTTTTTGTATTTAGTTTGTTATCCTTCCCCGGCATACTTCCAATTTACGTGGTTGGCTACGTATGGTGCAGAAATAAGTTCAATATTTATACTACGTTATGCATTACTATATACTACACTATACACTACCGTATACATTAAAATAGACTGCATTATACACCACTATACACTACACCACTATACACTATACCATTATACTAAATCGAAAACTAAAAAAAAAATTCTGGAAATGAATCGAGGAACCGTTTGACCAAGTCTCGAGGGGCATGAGTGAAGTCTGCCTTTGGAACATGGAGCCCACCAATCGACATCAGGCCTGGGTGCTGCTATAGGGCAACATGCTGTTGAAGTACCGGTGAGGACGCTTGACGCCGAGGTTGAGGCACACGTATATTTATTTCACAATACGACAGTGGGCATATAACACTCGAGGGGGTATCGGCCCCCTCACCCGTATAACTCGGGATACACCCCTAGCTAAGTCTGTCCTAGCCCCGAGTCCTCCACTAATGGGCTAGGGGAGGCTATCTGGCCCGACACTGGTAAGTCGGGCCCGGTACCCGGAGTTCCAGACCAGCTCTTACAAGAGCACCGGCTCTGGCTTTCGGGACCACGCCGCTGGCTCAGTCCTGTCCGGCCCTGAAAAGGACATCGAACTAGGGGAGTCCAGGGCTCTATCTAAGACGTCTTCAGTCTTCTTCCCTTAGCTTAAAACATAACTAACTCGAGCCCTTTGAACATCCCCTTTTATACCCAACCCCTCCCTGAGGGGTGGGGCCCCGGGGGATCATAACGTTCGAACCAGCCCCCCCCAGGGTGTCTGGCTCGGACGTCGTAGAGGGCACCTCCTCGTGCACTTACGTAGCCCCGCCCACTGTGTTTGTTTTCCATAGGCTGCCATGCATAACGGGCCCTCTCTTTAACACCCCTACATCACCCCCCCCCCCCCCCCCCCGCATAGCTTGCAGCCATCCCGGCTGCCAACATACAAAAATGACAATAAAAGTGCATTTACACCTTGACCGCGCGTGTGCCTCACTATTTTTCAACAATAACAAGAACAGCAACAAGAACACAACAAAATGCAACAGCAAGAAGAGAAAACAACCCGACGCACCCCCCCTTGAATAAATACGAATTCCGTAAAAAAACAACCTATATACAATTTGCAGGGAACCCACCATACACACAACACCAGGTGAACCCAACGTATGTACATTTCAATGGGCAGGGAACACACCACCCACACAACACACAATGAACCCAACGTATGTACATTCAATGGGCAGGGAACACACCACCCACCCAACACACGATGAACACAACCTATGTACACATCTTCCGGCCTCATAACAGTCTGCACATTTTGCACGCGTCCTTGCAGCAGGCCCCTCACACTGTAACCCCGGGTGGCGGACCGTCAGGTGGCAATTGTCCGTCCCGGAGTGAGTCCTCATCCGACGCCGCGTGACCGTCGGTATCCCCAGGAGGGGTGGTCGGGCGTGAGCCCGTCAGTCCTGATGCACCTGGAGGTGGCACGGCCGGCAAGGCATTAGGTGAGAACGACGGAGACGGACCCAGTGAGTCGGTCGACCCCCCACGCGTTTGGCCACGCATGTGTGAAGTGGGATTGTGTACCGCAACGAAGGGTTTTAATCGAGAGGGGTGCACGAACCATCGCCGCTTCCCCCATTTAATGCGCACGCACTGTGGTCGCAAAACTTCGACCACCTCCACAGGGCCCCGCCACGGCCGCACCAGCTTAGAGGAGGTTGCCAGTGGCACTTGGGGACAGTGCAGCCATGCCTTGTCCCCCGGCTTCCACTGTATCATGTGCGCTCGACCCAGCCTGAGGCGCTCATTCGCCTTTTGACGGAGGTCCGAGTTTAGCATTGCAGCATCCCGCGCCTCTGTTAATTTGGCCAGATTAAACGTGACGTGGTCAGCCAATTTAGTTTTCCCTTGCGGCTCGGGGATCTGCAGCTGGGCGCGAACAGGCGGGTCGGGTTCGCGACCGTACATGAGGTAAAAGGGGGAAAATCCCGTAGCTGCATGGGGTGCCATCCGGTATGCCGCCAAGACCCCTTGAATATGCAGGTCCCAGTCGGTCTGTGAGTCCGAGACCTGCTGTGACATCATTGACGTAATGGTGCGATGCAGGCGCTCGACCATCCCGTCAGTTTGCGGGTGATACGGGGAGGTACGAATTTTCTTCGTGCCTAGGAGGTCACAGACTTGTTTGAGTAATTTACCGGAAAAATTTCTGCCCTGGTCGGTCAGCAGCCGCTCCGGAGCACCTTTGTCCAGGACGTATCCCTGAACAAAGGCCTCCACGATGGCTGCTGCCGACTGGTTGGCAAGGGGCCAGGCCATAGGCCAGCGTGTAAAATACTCGACACCAGTCAACAAATATCTATTGCCCCTGGGGGTGGCGGGAAATGGGCCCAAAATGTCCAGCGCGACAAGCTCATTTATTCTGGCCACTTTGATCGATTGCAAGGGCGGGTTAGACTCCCGCGCCGGCGGTTTCCGTTGCGCACACCGAGGGCATGATCCCAATAAATCCCCAACATCCCTCGTCATGCCAGGCCAAAAAAATCAAGTTGTAGCAGGGCAAGAGTCTTTTGGGTCCCCAGGTGTAATAGGCGCTCATGCGCGGCCCAGAAGGGACCACCAGCCGATGTCGCTGGGATTTCCCGTCCCAATGCATCAGCAGACCTTGCACCATTTCCCATGCATCAGAATCACCCTTCACACGCCCAGCACCCCCGACGCGACGACGCCACCCGAGGAGGGAGGTATCCTCCATCTGGAGGCGCCCCCATTCAGTGACGGGCAACCCCAACAGGGAATCTCTTCCCTGTTGTTCGATTGAATTAGTAATTAATGTTTCGTCGTCGTCGGTGGCTGCCAAGACCGGAACCGATGCGTCCCCTGAAGGCCTGCAACGTCCCGACCCCAGGAGGCATGCACATTCGGTGGTGGTTGGCATGCGCAACAGAGCGTCCGCATTCGTATGGCGAACGCCCTTACGGTAGGTGGTTTCAAAATCAAAGTCCTGGAGAACCTCCAACCATCGAGACAACTGTCCCGATGGTTGTTGAACTCGCAGGGCATACTGTAGTGCCGCATGATCTGTGCGGACGGTGAATTACCGACCGTACAGATATGGGCGATACTGTTGGATGAAATAGACAATTGCCAACAGTTCCCTACGGGTGACACAATATCTTTGCTCCGCAGGAGACAACACCCGACTACCGTACGCGACCACCCGTTCCACGCCATCAACCACCTGGGATAGCAAACCCCCAATACCCGTGTTGCTCGCATCGGTGTCGAGCAAAAAGGGCTTAGAAAAATCGGGGTAAACCAAGGGAGGGGCTTTTACCAGGGCGTCCCGAAGGGAGCAGAAAGCAGCCTCCTCCTCTTGACCCCAGTGGAACCGAACCCCTTTAGATGTTAAAGCGTGCAGGGGTTTGGCAATTGTCGCAAAATCAGCGACGAACCGTCGGTAATACGACGCGAAACCAATGAAACTCCTGACCTCTCCCACCGAGATGGGAGTCGGCCAGGAGCTGACACACTGCGTTTTGGCGGGATCGGTAGCAATACCTGAGCGTCCCACGATGTGCCCCAAATAACGCACCGAATCGCGCAACAAATGGCATTTTTGGGATTTGAATTTGAAATTAGCAGCCCGCATCTTTAGGAAAACCGCCCGCAACCTCTGGAGATGTTCGTCAAAAGTTTTACCAAAGACGATAACGTCATCCAAATAAATGAGGCACGACTCCCATTGCAATCCAGCCAAAACCAATTCCATCAAACGCTGGAAAGTTGCCGGCGCTGAGTGTAAGCCCATCGGCAACCGGTTGAATTGGAACAGGCCGTGCGGTGTACGGAAAGCAGTTTTAGGCTTAGAATCATCGTCCAGAGGAAGCTGCCAGAATCCCGAAAGTAAATCGAGTGTGGAAAAGAATCGCGCTCCCGCCAAGGCGTCCAGCGATTCATCCATCCGAGGGAGCGGGTATGCGTCGGCAACCGAAATTTTGTTAAGGCGCCGAAAATCAATGCAAAACCGCAACGAACCGTCCTGCTTTTTAACCAGGACGATCGGCGCTCCCCAAGGGCTGGTGGAAGGAGAAATGATGTCGGCGGCCAACATGTCATCAATAGCCGATTTGACATGGTCCTTTTCGGCAGGACTCAACCGAAACGGATTTTGGCGAATTGGCGCGCTGTCACCCGTGTCAATATGGTGACGCAGCAGGTGAGTACAACCCAAATCGTATTTATTCCGACTAAAAACGTCGGAAAATTCCCGCAGTAGTGTTTTAAGTTGTTGACGCTCTGAATCTGACAGGTCCGTCGATCCCGCACAAAGCGCCTCGAGCCACCCTTCATCGCTGTCCGAATGCGGTCGCGGCGCAGGGACAACGCTGATGTGATTTGCGACGGTTTCCTCACATGGCACCGGCGTTGCGTGAGCAAGCACGGTTCCCTGTGGGACCACCACCGTCTGCGAGCCCACATTGAGGACCGCGATGAAGGGTTCACCGTCCCCTCTTACTATGGTCTGGGCCGGAAGTAAATGAGGTCCACTAACCCCGGCCCTAGACGGCCCCAGCAGAACCCCTTGGGCCGCAATACCCTTAGCGAAGGGTCGCCGAAGTTTCAAGGGAATCAACATTTGTGCCCCCGGAGGGACGCGCACCATTCTCTCTACGAATGCCGGCACCGTCGCGAACGCCGTCCGAGTCGTAACGGGTGATGGCAGAAACGCCATGCGTCTGCCCGACGGGAGCTCAATGCATCCCTGGTCGATTAATATCCTAATCGGCATTTTGGCCAGGAAGTCCGTCCCCAGCAGGCACGGAACCGCCAGCGAGGAGGAAACAAAAATCGGCCCAGACAATTTAATTTCCCCAACACAAATTTGGGCCCGAATTTGTCCGATGATGCCAAGTGAGCCCCCGTTAGCCGCATAGAATGGTACGTTAACAGGCATCAAAGGACGGCTCTGGACAGGGAGAATATTGTAAATTAACTCCGAAATAATGGTCGCCGATGCCCCCGTATCGACCAGGATGCGCACCTCAACCCCGTCGATGTGCCCCACAACGGCCGACGACCCCGACGATGCGGCTACCACACGATCGGCCAGCACGGACCACTGGCCGGGTTCGATATGAGTACCCAGAGTGGTGCGTGATGGTGCGATGGTGCGCGATATCGGCCCCCCTCTCGTTGCGGTGTTTGAGTGCGTGACGGGCGTGTGCGTGGGCCAAACATGTGGGGTGCCGCGACTCGCCGGGTTATGATGGTGGAGCTTGTGATGAGGCCCGTCGTCCCGTTGAGGTGTCGTCCCGCGCTGACGAGGAGAGCGGCACCCCGAGGCGACGTGGCCCCGGACGCCGCAGTTAAAACACCGCGGGAGCGCCGTCGGAGGTGACGGATGGTCGGAACGGCCCGACCCGTCCCGGCCCGACCGTGCTCCCGTCGCCTGTTGCCGTCGGTGGTCGACGGCGTAGAGCTCCTCCGTCGGAAGGGTGGCTGCAGCCACCGCACGCCCCGCCGATGCCCTGCTGGCTTTCCGCCGGAGTGACAGGAGGTTGGCGTGGAGGAGCCGCGCCGCCTGGAGCGATGTCATCTCCGCGTCCTCCTGTGCGACGACAGCGATGTCAAGGTCGTCTGCCAGGAGGAGGATTTTCTCCGTGACCATAGCGTCCACGCCGTTGTCGTCCATACGAGGGAAGGCCGACTTAGCCATCGCCAGGAGGCTCGTCCGGTATGCTAGGGGCGACTCCTTTTCACCCCGCTTGCGGTCGTAAAATTGCTGTCGGCATTCAGCTGATGGTCCATAGACCCCGCCCAGCAGCTGTAGCGCCATCGGTAATGTAGACCGTATCTCTCTCGGCGCCGATGTGAGGGCGGCGAGCGCGTCGCCG